GGTGCAGCGGAAGGCAGGGACAGGGTCAGGGTCAGCTCTTTGCAGGGGATGGCAGAGGCAGGTCTCGGTGCCCCGGAAGGCAGGGACAGGGTCAGGGTCAGCTCTTTGCAGGGGATGGAAGGGGCAGGTCCCAGTCCAGGTGATGGCAGAGACAGTTTCCAGTGTAAGGGATGGCAGGGTCAGGGTCAGGTCTCTGCAGGGGATGGCAGGGGCAGATCCTGGTGCAGGGGATGGCAGCGACAGAGGCAGGTACACGGACAGATGCAGGGGATGATGGGCTGGTACAGGTCCCGGCATGGGTGCAGAGATTCAGAGCGTGTACTTGTGAGTCTGTTCCCAGGCCTGGAGAATATTCAGAGGACTCTGGTGTTGGCCGCCCGCAATAACCCAGTACATTTGAACCCACAGGCTGGTTGTGCAATAACCCAGTACATTTGAACCCACAGGCTGCACCCTAATTTGCAAACTCGGTGGGCATGTGGGGGCAAGTGAATGGATGAGATGGCATCTTCCAATTCATGGTGGTCGTCTCAGTTGCTTAGCCAGATAGCTGGACTGACCTTCCCTATCCAGGGCAGATGAGGAGCTTGCTGTCAGAAGGCTTCGAGCCTTGCCAATGGAGCTTAGAGCCCAGCGAGGGAGCATAGTCGCCAACCCCGTGCGGGCGGTGCCCTTGAAAGCATCGTCCCTTAGTGTAGCGTCCCTTGCCAAACAGGAAAGGTCCAGTTCGACTTATTTAACTGGACACTTACACTTGGGTCTCACCGTCCTTCTACTTTGCAGTTAACGAGTTTAAAAATCCGGTTAAGCCAGGAAAGCCGACGCGGAATCTCTCCGACCCCAACCCTCGCGCGCGGGGCCGAGAATGCCGCTCGAACTCTTCGAGGTTTGAGCCTCGCTGCTCTCCGTTTTCCGACGCCAGTGTGGACGCATTCCCGCGCTTTCGGGCGTGAGGGGTCAGAGGGCGCGCCGCTGCGCAGGCGCAGGGAGCCGAGGCTGCGGCGGCGGCCATGAGCGAGGCCGGCGGCGCTGAGGAGGCCTTCCGGGTCAGTGAGGAGGCCCGGCCTGTGTGGCGACCCGCTTGGTCTTGCCCAGTGGCTCCCCGGCCTGCCCTGGGCCTCGTCCGTGGCAGGGTGGCCCCCGGGGTGGGGCTGGGGCCTGGCGGGGGCCCCCGTCGCCGAGCGTGCGGGGGCTGCGCTCTGGGGCAGGGGGCGCGACGGTGGGACGTGTGGCCCGAGCCCGGCCCTCAGTGCCAGGTGCGGGGACAGCGCGGGCCGCAGGTGCCGACGCTGTGGCCTCCGCTGCGCGGGAGCGGGGAGAGACCCCGCTCACGGCGTTCGCTGAAGGTCCCCCAGCCTGCCCGTGCCTCTGTTTGTGGCCTGACACCCTCGAAGTGTGGAGAAGGCTAACGGGGGGGGGGGGGGGGGCGCCCTGAGTGGGAGCCGGTGAACTTGGCTTCCTCCCCGGGAGCTGGGCGCCTGGACGGACAGAAACAGCGGCTGGCATCTCCTTTGGCTTTCGGGGGAGGGCCTCGGGGGCAGATGAGAAACAAAAACTGGCTCCCACTTTGAAGCCTGCAGAGCAGAGGGCACGTTGGGTAACGACGTGCTTCTGAAGCCTTTATGAGCAGGAGGTGTCGAAGGAAGGAAGCCCGCCGACTCGCGCCGCAGTCGTCCGGACAGAGATGTAACGCTGTTAAAATCTGCTTGTTCTTTTAGCGCGTGGGGACTAAAGAGGAATTCGTTAAAGTCAGAAAGAAGGACCTGGAACGGCTGACAACCGAAGTAATGCAGATCCGGGACTTCTTACCCCGAATACTAAATGGGGAAGTGCTGGAAAGCTTCCAGAAATTAAAGATTGTAGAAAAAAGTGAGTCTTACCTACATTTCGCAGTCATGGACGGTGGCAGCAGCCTGCGCCAGCAGAGGCTGATCTTACAGGAACAACTGTAGAGTAGTGGTACATAAACCTTAAATGCTGCTAAGTCCTCGTGATGACATTTGGGACAGTCAGGTGGGACGTAAGAGAGGCACCCTGGAGTGGGTAGCTCAGACGTGTGTAAGTTGGCATTGGGGGAAGAGTGGCCAGCTTTCTGGAGTTTGTCTTCTCTTTCCACCTCTCATCTTTGACATAAAAATTCGATACTCTTATAATTGAAAAGCTCCACTCTACAACTTAAGTGCTTGTGTAAGTTAAAGATCTTGCCACATGGAAACCTTGCATGGAGTTAAGTGTGTCTGTAGAGAGAGGTGTGTGTTTCCTTGTTTCTAGGTGAATGGACATGTCAGGTTTTTTTTTTAAAGATTTATTTATATATTTTAGAGAACGGGGTTGAGGGGGGGAGGCAGAGGGAGAGAGAGAATCCGAAGCAGACTCTCTGCTGAGCTCAAAGCCTGATGTGGGCTTGATCCCCCGACCCTGAGATCATGACCTGAACCGAAACCAAGAGTTGGAGATGGTGACTGAGCCACCCAGGTGCCCCGCCAGCCCTGACAGGTCAGTTTCTAGCACTGATTTAAGTCCAGAATTGCCAGGACTTGTCCATTCGGAGTTTGAGATTTGACCTGAGCCATTACATCAGGTATCAGTCTGGGAACCTATTAAAAGTTTTTAGATTCTGGGATCAATTCTGCACTTGCCTAACTGAGGCTGAATTACAGTTAAATCAGCCTTTGGTGCTCAAAGCTGGTCTGGCACCCTGCATTGGACTACTCACCATCCCTGCATGGTCTCTGGGAGAAGTGTTTCTGAGGGGCCCAGAGTGTTTCTCCAGCACTGGTGCAGACAAGAAGGTATCTGGACTCAACAGTACACACTTCTGGTTTGTGCAGATGGCACCTGGTCAAGAGGGCAGCCATGCACAGTGAGAAGGGAAAATGCTCATGGTCACCATAGCCCCCGTGCTGCTTAGTTTCTCTTTGGAATCTTCAGATCCACCCTGTGCTGCCCTGTGGCGTGCTCTGGACGGTACGCCTGCTTCCTGCCTGCCCCTGACTTCCTTGCTGCCCGCCAGCAGGGCTCACCAGTGGAAGGCGTCACGGACGGAGCGAGAGACTGGGGTGTTTCCTCCTGCTCCTTCCATAGCTGTGACTCCCACCCTAGGACCTCCTTGACGTCCTCAGTTCTCGCTGGGCTCTGGTATCAGTTTTTCTCCGATTCCTCCATCTGGAGGACTGTTGGTAGTCGCTGGGTGCCTCACCAGCTCCTGCTCTCCTCTCTGTAAGCAGTCCTTTCCACAAATCTCAACATCTGGGATTTTGTCTCCCATGGAGACCCTGCGGGGTATGCTCTAGGTCACTGATTATATTGTAGCTCCAGGTCATTGGCTTCTTAGTCCCTGGTTCTGATCCCATGCTCAGCCAGAGGCCTTCTGAGAGCAGCTAGTCACCCACGTGCATTTATCTTTAGGGAAGGAAGGTGCTGACCCAGAGTAGAGAGTGTCAGCGTGCTGAGTGGTTATGTCTCACTGCAAATTACTAAGCTGGCATTCTGAAAATGACATCAGGGTCTCATGAATTGATTAGCATGAGTCAATCTTTAGAGATCACAAAATCAAAATTGTGGTACATACGAGAGCGAGGGCCACAGATGGATCTGTGGTGACCTGATCAGAGTTAGACTTTAGGAGCTCTTGCCTCACAGTCCCCAGGCCCTGTAGTCATCTCTTCCCGCTCCCTGGCCATCTTGTCTTGGTTTGCTTTGCTGATGCGTCCTCTGCAGCAGCCTTTCGGCTACTGGAGCTGCCTGAGGTTCAGGCCTAGGCCCCTTGTCCCCTCACTCCATGGCTTTTCCATGGGCGGTCTCATGCACACACAGCTTTAGTTCCCATCTTGATGCCTGTGGCTCCTAGGTTTATCTCTGGCCCTGGGTTTGGCCCAGACCCCCAGGCTTAGTTAGGGCCCTGTATCCAGCTCCTACTTGGCTTTTCTTCTTGCTCGTTTCACCATCGTTTCAAATTCTCCATGTTTGTCTTAGCCTAATCAGCCTGCAGCCATCAGGAAGCACCTGTAGTCCAACGAAGTCAGGTTTATTGGTTTGTTGCCACGAGGGAGACACACCCCAGAGGAACTGTGGGCACCTTGCCAATGAAAGGCTAGTGTTGCTGTGGGTTTTGGGAAAGAGTGGAATTTAGGTGAAGTGCACATTAAACCACATTTCGATGGGCTGTAAGCAAAGTAGGGCTGTGTGTGGGGCCATCACCGTATCCTACTACAGTGGGCCCAGGCCTCGTTTTTTTGAAAACTACAAAGTTTAGCTCGATGTAGAATATTGTGTCCGGAAATCCCTCATTTGAAGCCCTGCAGCTAGCTAGAAATCAAGGCTGCTCCCCTTTGTCCCAGTTACTTCGATCCTACAGGGACAGTGGGATGTTTCCTTTTTACTAGTATAATTCCAAACAACAGAATTTCTGACAGTCTGGGATTTTATAAAATAAGCTTTTTGTGAATAAGAAATCAGCAGTCACTGAAAGGGGTCTTCATGATACTTTACTGTCCAGTGTGTTCTTGGGAGAAACATTGTTTCCTGTTAACTTGGCAGCTGGCTTTATACCTCTGTTGACCCAGCCTAACAAACTGCAGGACAGATTTCTACTTTCTTACCTCTGACTCATGCTATCCATCCCCTTACCCCGCCCCAGACTGGGCTTCCTCAGTCTCCCCAGGGCATAAGTGTCCACCTAGAGACCTAGGATCCTCCTCATTGCCCACCTGTCTTCATTTTTCGCTCTCTTTCCAGCCCCCCAACCTCTCTTCCCATAAGCCCTGTACATTTCCCCTCATGGCTGTGTCCTGAATTCACTAGCCTGCCTCCACTGCCACCACCGAGCCCAGGCCACCATCATGTTCCCCGAATCTCTGCCTCCCGTCTGTCCCCTCATTGTCACTTTCTAGTCTGTCCTGTACACCGTCGCCTGTGTAGTTTTTAATAGTTAAGTTTGGTTATGTCGTTCCCCTGCTTATGTCTTCAATGGCTTCTCCTTGCTTTTAGGATAAAGACCAAAAAAACACCTCCCCCCAAAACACTACCAGCCAAAAACCTAAACAAAATGGTACGGTGCCTCGAAAGACTTTGTATTATTGGACTTAGCCTCAGGTGCAGACTCATGTCCTTATCTGACTGCCTAGATAAGCTCTGTCCTCCTGTTAGTCCTGTCAGGTGTTCCTACAGCACATGGTACTGTTCTTCAGATGAAGTCGCATCACTGTCATCCTACTGTGTAAGTGGGCGGGAGGGCAGGGCCCCTGTTTTTGCCTCCTGTTGTATTCTCTGTGCCTGAATATTTGGTCCTGGGAGACTTCCCAGCCCGTCTCTGTATGTTCTTCTTTCTAAATTGCTTGGTATCTCATGAAGCTAGTGTGCTATAGGCACCTGGGTGTTAAGAGAAAGGGAGGATCAAAGTGGACAAAGGACTTGGTACCTGCTTGTGCTGGAGGCTTTACTGTGAACTTTGAACTTGAGCTGGCCCTTGAAGCCTTCTGCTTCTCTGGCCTGAGGCCTGGCCTAGAAGATGTCCTCCTAGGGCATCTTTTACTCAGTTTTGGCTGTTGAATTTTTGCTACTTCGGTGACATGAAGGAAAACAAAGATTCCCTCCTTTTTCTTTTTGTAAAGACTAGGTCCGGTGACTCTTCCCTGGGCCTTCTGAGACAAATCACATGAGCCATGGCCTTGAGAATGGCTCCCCCAGAGACAATCCAAGGATCACAAGGAGGCAGCAAGAGCTGTAGGACATGTTGATCCATCTGCCTTCCTGGCCCCGTAGTCCAGGAGGGCTCTTGGCTTTGACCAGTATCAAAGCTTCCTTTGCTTCTACAGTGGGTGTATGCTTCTCAGCTTAGCAAGTGGCAAAGAGCAGCACAAAGGGAGGAATGAATGCAGGCCGGGCAAGAGGAGAGGGCAACTATACCTGGTTCGGAGGGAAGCTTCTTTTGGAGTGTAGGTATGGTTGGCTTGGATGGGCTCAGGCCCAAAAGGACCCACGTTGATAAAACGAGTGTCAAGTAGTGAATGGGACTTCATTCTGACTCTAGCATAGTAACTCCCTTTAGGAAACCGGGCAGGTAAATGGTGGAATTTGGAAGCATACTGGCTAGGCTGTTGCCTGAAATCTTCTGGGAGTAGATGAGCATTGAGGAGTGAGGCATGCTTTGTTAGAAGGGTAAGAGGAAGGTGTTTTCAGCTGGGTGATGGCGGGCGTGAGAGTCACAAGTGGGAGAGATGGCAGAGGTGATTGCTGGCTGAGAAGCTTGTTTTTCTGCTTGATATGTGGAGCAAGGATTGGGGTATAGCAGAGTCAAGGTCAGTAAATGTCAGTGGTTTATAGAAGACAAAATAATTGTAGCTTATTGTTTTTAACATGAGATGAGCGGCAGGTGGAAGTTCCCCCATGGAAATGATATCGAAATGCGACTAAAATTACATTTTCAGGGGAATGATTTTCGTATCTGAGTGGAGGATAAGTTGGAAGAATTGGGTGGAAGATGAAGGAGAATTAATGATAGAGTGCTCACCAAGGAAGGTCTTGGACTCATCCGAGTGTGTGAGTATGGCTGTGCAGATGGCGTGGAAGGGACGTATGAAGAAATGGTTAGTCTTGGTGAAGAAGGGAGGGCAGAGCTCGGCAGTGGAAATATGGAGCAGCCTGTACACTGCTTTGGACAAACTCCCAGGTGTTTCCCTGTCTGTAAAACGGGGACAGGAGGTGGCGAGGCTTAAGATGAGACTGTCTTTGGGAAGTGCGTGGCGTCGTGTGGGGCTCCGGGGGCGCCCTCAGGGAACAGGACCTGTTCAGGTGGAGGGGGCCACTGAACATTTGGTGGAGTGAAGGAAGTGCTCTGTTCTTGACCCGGCACTCTCCGTTCGGGCTTG